ACTCAGCCGGTCACCACATCGTGGCGAAATTTTGGCCATGTCATGGTTGCCAAACAATAAAATAATTGTGATGAATCTTGTTACCATGTTGTGGGACTTCCTTAGCTATGTTGTAGTTTTAGTCTGAAAGACTATTCTTCATTAAGAGCTTAATCCATAAAGACCAAGGCTCATAACATCAAATCCGGTACCTAATAGCTTCATAATTGAAAACGTTTCCAACTTTATCCATTATAATGCTCAAAAATACCAAGATCTAAACTATAAGTCTCAAAGGGACCAAGAATGCATCTTTCTCAACTCAATCCAGTCCAAGTCTCAAACCTTCAAATATGAACCAACATGATTTTTAGATGGATAAAATTTCCAACTTTATCCTAATAAGACCACAAACTTGCAAGATCTATAACAATAAGTTAAGAAATGTGCAAACACTTACTTTCTTCATTCATAAAGCAAAGAAACTTCTTGCACACACTCTTTACTCCGCTAACTCACTAAATCTGAATTTTAAACATAAACCAAAGCTCATGAATTTCTTCAAACTCCACGCAACAAGTCACAAAACAAAGTTCATAAAATTGGACAAAAACACCAAATACTAATAAATCTAGTGATGAAACACAGTAAAGCAAGGAACTTTGCAAGTTGCAAGGGTCTAGGAAGTTAATGGAGGGTGAATACTTTAAAAGCATAGATTCAAGGACCAGTATTTCTTGTTCTTCTTTCTTTTAGAGCACAATACCAACAATAGAAAACACCAAATGGACATTAAGTGAGTACCAAATACATTTAAGAGAAATGATGATTTCCAAACATTTCAATGGAGGCTAGGCTTTCATTAGAGGTATTCTAGAGGAGGTGGAGGCTGAAAAGGAAGAAGTCCTCGGGTTAATGGCCTTTAAATACCCTAAAAACGCACAGTCCATTGGGTTGGGGGCACAACACTTTAAAAGGGCGCTCTGTGCTATTTGATAAATTCCTGATTTTCCTATGTTCAACTTCTACTTCAAACGATCACAACTTCTTCATTCTAAATCCATTTTTAGTGATCGTTATATTCACGTGAAGGTATTGACAAGCCATACAATTCTATCCACTTACTTTTGGCTTAAAACATACCAACATAAATTCGTTAATTCATGCAAGAAGCCAAAAATATCATTTTTTTTATTTTACCCTAAGGCTCTAAAGCACAATTAAAGGGATGATATCACTTAACCAACATTATCATTATTAAATCAGGTGTAAAATTCATTCCCTTGAAGTCTAATATCTTTATTTGATCAAATTATGTTCCGCTATCCTAAAATGAGAAAAATCCTGAAACTGGATGTTACAAGATCTGTTGGACATCATCCGCTCGGATGTATGTGGTCCATTCAAACATATCACTAGAAATGGTGAAATATATTGTCACAGTTACTAATGATTTTAGTAGATATGGGTATATTTATCTAATTAAACATAATTCTAGGACATTTGTTTAAAAGATTTTGGTCACTTTGAGTATCCATCAAGTTGCATACCAACTACTTAGTTAAGTAATAAAGTAAAATACAATCATGCACCTCATGCCTTGTCTCTAAAATCATATCCTCGTAAAGGAGGTGGGTATGGTGTGTTTCACTTTTGTATGATATCATCCATACATGATAAAAAAGCCTTGTTACTTTTGCTTTATTGTCTTGACCGTTTCATACACTTGGTTAGATAAAAAAATGCATTGCAAGCATGAAATGTTGATTCTTTTGCATGAATCTCTCTTGTTTTTAGGCTGCCAATTTTAGAAATTATAAGCCTCTCCCTCTCTTCTTCTTTCTTCCATTTTGTGCTAGAAATGAAGGCTCTAAAGTTGCTTCTATTTAAGAAATTATTTGGCATAAGTCTTAAAGATTATGAACAACTTCACACAAGTGTATAGTAGCATATTTTGGTGGTTTAATCTTGCTTGGTGGATACTTCTAGAGAGCCCATGTTTTTGGTGCTTCATGATATACTTCATCAATTTCCAATCCTCCATGAGAATCAAAGACTTCAAAGGTTGTAACACTTAAATTTTTATGGTTGTTTTAATCATTCTAAGTTGTTAGAAAATGATCCTTAGTGGGTTAAAATTGTTTTAGTTTATTCAAACATCAACGTGCTTATGTTCCTAAACTCATAGTTTTGACTATTATTTTAGACTATTTTTGAATAAAAAACCCAACATGTTATGCCTTTCAATTTCTTTTTTGTATTTTTATATTTTTTTAATTTAAAAATAAGAAATACAAAAAATAAGCCAACAATATCCTCCCTCTCTCTCTTTACCATAACGGTGTGAGCCTATAATCAACCATAAAATCCATGGCTATAAATTTGAAACTCATTCTCTTCTTCTCCTTCTTGATGCAGTAACATGCAAGAATAATTGATTCCAAAGCTCACATGTTCCCCACTACCCTCTATTAACTGAACCAACTACTCGTTTCAGATAGATTGAACATGAACAATAATTAATTATACCTTATCTAAGAGTGAGTGATCCAAAAAAACAAAAATCAACTATCATACCCCGACTGAGGTAGCAGAACATGTCGGATTGTGCAACTAAGTTCATGGATCATAGGTAAACTAATTATATAGCACAAGTACAAGAATTAACAAAATAACATTTATATACCATATTTAAGTTTGAATATAGGGTTCTTACAGATAATAATAATACATGAATTGCCTTAACATGTATGAAGACATGACAAAAACTAGTAAACTAGATTTCCTAAAATCCTTGATTACCCGTCGTCTGAATTGTAGTTCGTATGAATCGAGTGAATGAAATGAAATCAGAGTATGAATTGAAACAAGAACACAAGTTGTAAATAGAATCTTTTTGGCTCGATCGATACTTCTGAAAGGATACAAGAGAATAAGAGAGTAAAGTATAATTCGTGTCAAAAGTTACTCTAACCCTTATATCTATCCCTATTTATAGGAACACCAGATGTAAATAAAATGTACATAAGGGCTAAGACATTAACGCTTAGACCTCTAAAAGTACCCTTATGAAATACATACAACATATACAAGTAGATAGACTTCAACACTAAACATGACAAAAGACAATTCGACATCTCACAACACATTTCGACCTCTACATGCTCCCTCATTGTGAGAAATGTCGAATCTTAAGTCATTAGCATCTTCGTTGCTTGATGTAGAACTCTTCGAATCTTAGTGTACCATATAATTGTCTTTCAAATCTCAGCTATATCACCAGGATTATTCCTTTTATAGTTACTAAGACAAACCATGAGATTTGTGTATTTTGAATTTATATATCTTTCCACATCTTAAGCCTTGAGCAAAAATTTTGTAGTCTTCTATTTTTATTCTTTCCAACAAATACAACTCCCAAAGGCTTGATAAAAATTTCCCCATCTTCAAAATTCTTGAAACTCACTTGACCTTTTAACATTGATTTTTTCATAGTCACTTGTCTTCAAATTGCTAAAGCAAGCTCCATATCAGTCAAGGCCAGCCAATCGTAATAATTGTCTATGATTAGCTTGATATGTGAAAATCCTATAAAAAGTCTTCTTTGGTATTCATTTAAAGTTTCGATACATCAACACCACTCAAGATCTTCGCAACACTAATAAGTTCGTTACATATCTTAAAGTTTCTATAAAAAGTCTTCTTTGATATGTGAAAATCCTATAAAAAGTCTTCTTTGGTATTCATTTAAAGTTTCGATACATCAACACCACTCAAGATCTTCGCAACACTAATAAGTTCGTTGAGATTCATCAAAGGAAAATCTGCCACTAAGAAATCACTTGCAACATTGTTAGCTCGAAACACATGGAAAGTGAAATTCTGCAATGATCTTTCGAACAGTTGATCCTTTGTAACATCCAAAACGCTCACTATTTTCACTAAGGACCAAAATTCTTCTTCTTTCTTTCCAAGAACAACATGGAACCTTATCTTCAACTTCTTGTACTCCTCCTTATCTTCAAACTTTCCCAACAATTGATATTGCGATGAGATAAGCATCATATGGTTGATGGGAAAATCTGGCTGGTTGAAATTTGAATTCCCTATCTTAAAGCTCTGCTTTGGTGCTTTTTCAAAGTAAAACATATTTCCAAACTAAAAAAGTTGTTCAATTGTTTTGTAACAAAAATTCTTAGTTGGATCTCCTTTTTCAAGCCCTGGAGGATCAGCTTTCCTTTGCCTTAAAATGTTGTTGATTTGTCTTTGTCGTTCTATTTCTTTCTCAAGATTCTTTTTCTCCTCCTTGGCCAGTTCCTTCTCAATCCCTTTTCCTTTATCTTCTTTAACTTCTTTTGAAGTTGGTGGTTTTTAGCTCAAACCTCCACCAGAAGAACCAATAACCATGCCCTTGATCAATAGCTTCAAAGTCATCGTAGTTGAGGTTGTTGACAAAGAAGTAGGAAGTGAAGCTGGAATTTATGTACTTATTATCTTCCCCATAACTTTTCCACAATAAAAATCTTTTGACAAACCAATCCCCTTTTCTCCCCTTTTTACCCCTATTTTAACAGATGGGGCATCTGTTGGCATCAAAGTCAAAAGCTTCAGTAAAGGAGCAAACTCAGCTTTCAGATTGGACTCCAGAAAAGAAACAATTGCAAATAAAGACTCCTCAGAAACAGAAGATTTGGGAGAAGAATCAAGCTTCGAAATGGACTCCATCAAGCTTTCCAAACAATCTTCCATATTGGTGAATACTTGCAAATCCTTAGTCGAGAAGGCAATAAAATTATGAAAAACTTTTGAATTGCCTCAAAAATAATATCAAGTTTATTTTGAAGAGATTCATAATACTTTTCAAGCTTAGTCACCTCCTTCGAAATTTCCGACTTGAGGGACTCCACGTTCAAATTCACAGATTCATGTTGGGATTCAATATGTTACATAGCAACCTTCAACCTATGCTCTTGATCTTTTAGCAAAACATCAACCTAAATTCTAGATACCATGTTACGAGTTCATGTATCGGCCTGAATCTGAAGCAAATAACTCAGCTTGTGGTTCAAGATTGTAAACCGATTTCTTGACATCAATATGTGATCAGGAATGTTCTCCTCTTCAGGGTCAAATTGAATGTCAGCAAACGAGACCATGAAATCATCATCATCTTGACTATCATCTGGAATTGATTTGTCACCTTCGGTGGATTGGGAAGGGAAAATAGAAGTAATAGGTTGATTCATGATGGTGTTATAGGTAGGTGGTACGGTGGAAGCATGTAATAAAGTAGGAATTTGTGTGCGAAGTGGTGGTAAGGAAGTAGAAGTATCAATGAGAGTGGTTTCAATATAAGAGGATAAAATAATAGAAACATGAACTGCTGATGTTGCAATAGAAGTGGTACCTTGAGCTTCGGAAGTTGACATCCCATCACCCTTGTTGACATTTTTGTCCATATTAGATATGTTCACATGGATACATAAAGTTCGAACCTCCTCCGAAACGGATTCAGTCATCGAAACTTCGGGTGGTATGAAACTAGTCTGCTCAAGGATGGAAACGGCTAATGTATCACCCAAGGTAGTGGTTGTATCTGTATTAGATACGTTCACATAGCCACCTAGATTTCTAGTCGCCTCGAAACTCAAATTGACGGGTGAGTCCTTTTGAGGTAAATCGAAGCCAATATTATCATTGTGAACTGGAGATGGAGTACCATCATCTTCGAAATCAATCTCCTAAAGAACCTCATCCAAAGGATCTTCCAACTGCCTCTTCTTTTTCTTAATATTCTTAACCATAGCATGTGCCCTTTGTTTCTTTGATGCAATAGAAACAGGAGAAAGTGTTTCGTGAATAAGCACACCCCTTCAATTGATCTGGGTTTTTGAATCTTCTTGATTTTCGATATAGAATCCCCCTTAGCTGAAGAAAGAGATTGCTCAAGAACTTCTTCGTTAATAGGTCGCCTTTCTTGTGAACGACGAGGTCTATGGGCTGGTTTCTTCGCTCTTTTAAGAACGCCTATTTTTGAAGGCACTACTTCATTTGGATTTTCATGAACAACAGGGTCTTTATGTGACAACCTGGAATTTCCATTCTATACAAACAGTATCACTTCAAAAGAAGTTATAACAGTCATAGTCGATTTTCAGACTTTCCGTATAAGTTGGAGTAATTTAGGGTTTACACATCAGTAAATATCAGGAGGGTGGATGCACTATGGTTTTGTGCAACACTGTTATTCCAACACCCTGTTATATTAGAAATCATTTCAGAAATAAAAATATTTCTATCAAAAATATCTCAGGACTATAAATAGATTTCTTAAACAAATTCATTCATTATTCACATTTCCAACTAAAGAAAAGCCATTTTCTCTCTCACGGATCTTCGGGTTTCCATCCCAAATCGTGAGTACACTTCTCTAGTTGTTTTATAATGCTAGTTATATGATTAATAACATAGATTACAAGTCAAATATGTGAGATTCGGGAGTTTACCGCCCAAGAACGTTCTTGGGGAGTAAACTCCAAAATGAAGCTTAAAGGCAATCTAGTCCCATTTCCTTCTTAGGTAACTAGCTTAGGATAATATGTATGTACATTAGAGACTAGAAAACAATCAAAAACACATAGCTTAGGGTGTTCATGGCCCAAGAACTTCTTGGACCGTGAACTCCAAATTCAAGGGCCATAATGTGCCCTAATCACTCCTAAGGCTTTAGACATTAACCCTCAATTACTTCTAGCTAATTTGTGGACTTTAAAACATCAAAATCACCCCCTTAAAGGGATTTTACGGCCAAGGAATACTCTTAGGCCGTAAACACCAAATAAGGGCACCAAAGTGTGCCTAAGGTCCTCTTTAGCCTCAAACAAATAATTACAACTTATCCTACTTGTGCTTGCGACTTGAAAGAATAAAAACACCCATCCAATAAGAGTTAACGGCCGTAAACTCTAAGGGATTTGGCCTTGGCGCCGTAAAATCCTTGTGTTGGGTTTATTGAGGAGTAAACACTTATATAAGGCCCTTTGGTACATTAAACCCCTTTAGCCTTGTCCCATAACAACTTAGATGCAACCATTAGGACCTATAACACTTATACAAAGTAGTTACATATTCCTGAGTGTCCCAACCTATATCATTAAGTTATTATTTGGCTAATTAGTTATATATATGCTCATTATTTGATAACTAGGCTCGTGCGTGTGAACAAGTCTCCGTTTGCCACCTAGCACGGTATCCGATACTTCAATCTGATCCACTCCCCGTAAGTGAGTTCATACCCCTTTAATTAACCTTTGAAATACTTTTAAATGTTTTAAATACTTTTATTGGGGGGGGGGGGGAATACAAGTTAAATACTTATAGTTATTACATCAATCACATGTGATTAATAACTATAAAACCAATGATTTTATCAATATTCAAACTGTTTATCAAACTGCTTTACTTCAAAATGTTTCACAAACTATTTTCTGACTAAATACTTTTATTTAAACTTTGTTACACTTCTTATAAATTGCATGCCCATATATGTAGAGATATATAACAAATGTTCAAAGGGCTTAGGAAGGCCATCCACCCTATTTCCTTTTCGCGCTTAAGATGTGGTCTGGTGGGATTTTGGGTAGCCGTTTGAAGGTCGTTTCAATATTAATTATATATCAAGTGTACATATATAGACATAAAAGTACTTCCATATTCATGAGTATTAGTTACATCATTAGTAAGTTACCATCGGGGTAACACAGGATCATACTACTACAATTTCTAGATCAATGAGTCAGTTCATTCATGAGTCAATACTTATTACTATGAGAACATATACATTATATTACTATGAGTACGTATACAACTATACTAGAAAGAGAACATATACAACTATACTAGAGAAGAACATATACAACTATACTAGAGAAGAACATATACAACTATACTAGGAAGAGAACATATACAACGATACTAGAATAAGTAACATTACATTACATATACATGAATACGTTAACAATTGTGATCCACTGTATCGGAGCATGACTTAAATGTCAAGGCCCAAGTCGTAGCCAAAATTCTCTTGGAGGGAGAGCGTGAGTGTGCGTATAGATCTATACTAGATTGACTATCCTACACCTTGCTACTAGCTACAGCCGGACCTGCAGGTCTGCAGGTGCCAAACGTCATTCCATTTTATGACCATTCGTATGTCGTTGTTACCAGTCGATAGTATGGTGCAATTAATCACATGATACCTTAATATAAATCCGGTTTAAGCTAGTTAGTATAGCAGTAGTTCCTATAATACAACACTACAATACTACAATAATTTACCCATTACATATACTTAGTGATTATTTCACTTAAACATGAATGTACAAACTATATTTTGATAATGATAGTTACACTTGGGGAATTTACACACTTTTACAACAGACGATCATACAAAACAGTTAAGCCTTGGTAGAAGGCTACTTTTATAGAAAATATTGGTTTTTCTGAGAGATTCAAACTTTTGCAAACACTTACAAACATTTACATACATTTTACAAACATTTACATACATTTTACAAACTTACACTTGAGACATGTTCAAACGTTTTGATAACAAACACTGACACTAAAATACTTATGAACTAACCAGCTTAATGTTGATAAACTCTTTCAAAATAACTTGTATTCTCAGGTCATCAGTAGACAGGTACCGGGACCAGCTTTTGAGAAGATGGAGCGCATCCAAAACTCATCTTATTATTTTGATTTACATTATTTTTGGTGTCTATAACTGTACAGAACACGCTTGTATTAAAATTATATATTTAATGCAATGGATGATATTGTTTGCTTATTTACTGTTATACTGTGTAGTGATACTTTACCTGACGTCCTCCACCCCAGAACGTTTCCGCCATTCTCGGTTTTGGGGTGTGACAGATTGGAATCAGAGAATTGTTTATAGTGAATCAAGTATATCAACCCATAAAAGATATACTAAACTATAAACCCATTTGAGATTAAAACACTCTGACCAAGAGTCTATACTTTAAATACTAAGATATTTAATTAAGTATACTAGTCTGCATTCATACTAAAATCAGTGTCACAATGACAAGAACAAAAGTATTATGATTGTTAAATATCACAGGTAAGCTCGGGGATGTATGGTCAGTCCTGGGAATGGCATAGCCTGATCAACTATGCTGCTCCGAGGAGTGATTAGCATATGCCCTAGAATGGTTGTGATATGATAGCAAGTCTAAAAACTTACCAACAATACCACAAGAAGATCAGTGGAACCTAAACTTAAAATACTATAGGTGTATTTTGTACTACTAGCTACATATATACTATATCCTTATACCTCTCTTCTCGCGTAGATTCAAATGGCTGGATTCCATCACGGCGACCCGTACTTTCCAAATGAAGGCAACGCAGGATGGCTCGAAGCAGAGTCTGATGATGAGCACCAAATTCCGTTGGATAATCATCAAGCTGAAGGCTTCTCGGATGGATCGGACTCTAAGCTCGAAGTCAACAACCTACCTCCAGTAGGTCAAGCCCCGAACAACAATCCTCGACCAGCTTTTCCAGGTCCCAATCCCTTATGGGTAAATAACTTGAATCGCTGGAGTGACGAACAGGGTCAACCCTTACCATACATTGGGGACCAAAGGTTTTATAACGTTAGCGAAGGAGGTTCTGCTGACCGAGCTCTGCCCGTCATTATCTACAGAATAGCTCGTAATGTTGAGCAGGGTCGAGCAGCCATTGAACGAGTCGTGGAGATTGATGCCAACTCTGGTGTCAACACAGTCCGCATCCACCATCTCGTAGAAGACATGGAACGGACCCGGAGAACCAATGAAACCCTGCAGCAACATCTGGTTGCCTCTCAAGCAAAAGTCATGGAACTTCGAGCTCGTAAAAGGGCTCATGAACGATACCTTCAAGAGGTGATCCGTCAAATGAGAGACCTCAGGGTTCTCCCGAGGAATACTCATCGCCGTTAGAAGATGTCTAGTACATCTTTATCTTTTGGGTTAAGGATTAGCCTTTAACATCTGTGCTCTAGGTAGCGCTTGTCTGTAAAATATTCCTAACTTTCAGTACTCTAATTAGGAATCTAAGGGCTGTCAAACTTTTCCGTCTGGTATGATGTATGACCTACTGTTAGGTCGATTTTCCCTGAACTTATTACATCGGTAATACCAATATTATTGACATCTATCTAATATGTGGGGAAAAAATTTACACTCTTGTTTTCCTACTAATCTTCCTTGTTGTGATCTCAAACACTCATTCAACTGTTGGGCTATGGTTAGTTAGTCCATGTGTCACTCTCCCCTTACTTACAAATTGATTCTTACCACTTTGCTTATCTTTATAATATTATAGCTGAAAGATGCCTCCTCTCAAATCTCCCTGG